GTGTGTGTGCTGTCGTTCTTGTTATCGTTGGCATTATTGTTGTTGTTAGTTGTGTGTGTGTGGGTGTGTGTGTGAGTTTCTTTTTCCTTGTAGCTCCCGTAGCGTAAGCAATTTTTAAATCTGTGCACCCAAAATGCCTTTAACATGGACTCACTTCAGCAGAGGCTTTAGATGTTATGTATATAATTTGTATGTATTTAATTTGTGTAGTTGTCTAACGATCTATTTAGGCAGTGGCAGTGTCGATTTACTCCCCAATGCTGCTGCTCATTTGCGTATTTTTAGCCTTCCTTGTAATCTCGTCATTGTATATAAATAAGCCGCTCGGCCTGCTTGACTCATATTCGCGCTTATTAATTTGCAGAACTTTGCGTTTGATGTGCTTTGAGGCAGCTTCGCATTTCCTAAACTCGGCCTTCACTCGACTGGGAGTTGGTGTGGGGAGTGAGAGAGGGAGGGGGAGATTTCCAGTTAGAGTTGAGCCTGAGCATCTCTCGTGCTTTTTGCGTTCTTAATTCATCTAAGCAAACAGTTAGTTTGTTGACTTTCAACCAGCTGGCAAATGCAAATGTCAGGCCCCGCCCCACTGGGCTGTACAAACAATTACTGCCCAGCGAAAAGCAAACAAGAAAAAAAGTAACTGAAGCTGAAGAGAGAGAGAGAGAGTGAGAGATGGAGAGAGAAAAAATGCTAATTGCCTAATTTATTCGGCGCTGTGCGGGCGCTTCGGTCTAAGTTTTTATGTCACTTTGACTGTAATTTAAAATATATTTATTTATGTATTTGACTCCACCTTCGCCGCCTCCTGGTCAATCTCTGCAGCAGCTGATGGCCATTTTTGCTTTTGCCGGGGCGCTTTTGCGCTTCGCCAATCAAAAGCATTTAGAGAGCAGCTTTAATGCATGCGCGCGCTTTCATTAACAAGCAGCCACGCCCACGCTTCTAAGCCGCATTTACACACAACACACACACACTCACAACACTCACACATACACAACACTCACCTAGTCGGTGAAGCGACAGCGAGAAAAAAAAATCGCATCAGCGGCTTATGCAAATGTGTGGAAAAAAGCGAATGTGTTGTGTTGAGTGAATACGAAATTATTGTTTACAACTGTAAACTTTTTTAATACCCTGCAGCACAGCGTGTGGTCCATGCGACTAGCTGAAGTCGCGTGGCTGCGGTGGGTTTCATATTCATATTTTTTATGACTTTCTACTTCAGTTTATATTTAATGAAAACTTTGCCAGGGCTTTTTCAGATTTCAATTCTGCGCCATTCGTATAGGGTATGCACTGCGTCGACTAGGCGCTGCCACTATTTCCTTCCATTTTTTTGCGACTGTGGCTGTGTTTAGAAAACGCTTGCAAAACCGCACTAAAAGCGACTTATAACATGTTGAGTGCCAGAGGATTAACAGCGGCCAAACCGAATGGGCATGTTGTGCCGAGCCGGGCCAAAATAGAAACTGTCCACGTTGGGCAGCTCGGCGAGCTGATTCTGGTCGCACGATTGTAAATTCCTTTTTAATGAGTGCTGGTCTGGCCGTGTGCGGGGGGCGTGCGTAAGCTGCTTAAGGTTTGGCGTAATCAAAAAATTTTTAAAAGCTTTTTGTGGTACATCAAACTGAAAGCCAAGCCTCAGCGTCCGAGCGGAGGTGCGAAGGTGCGGAGGCCGAGCCGAGGCCGAGAAAAAACTTTGTTAAGCTTGAAATTAACTTGCGGTTTGTCTGCTGCTGCTCCTGCTGCTACGGCTCCTGCTGCTGCTGCTGCTGCTGCCAACTTTGACGCCTGCAGGTAGGCAATCAATTTTTTGCTGCTGCTGCTGCTCTGCAATTGTTGTTGTTGTTGCACTTAGCAATTTGGCTCCGGCCCGTTGTATAATTAATATATGCAGGAGCAAAAGTGTAGCGTACTTTTGTGCAAGCTACTAAAAATTTTATACAACAGCTGGCGCGTCGTTTTGCGCTAATTACCTGCTACCTGGCTACCAGCTACCTGCTACCTGCTAGCTGCTACCAGACGTCGTAATGCCAAATTGCAATTACAACTGCCAACTTGCCAGCCGCACAGTTGCCATCCCTCGCCCCTCCCACTTCCAGGCCCAGGCCCACACTTTTTTTCCTGCCTAACTGACATTAAAATGCTTAATGTGCAGGCAGCTAAAAAAGAAGCAGAAGAAGAAAAACACGCGCTCTTAAAATTACAAAAAAAAAAATTTTTTTACAGAAATTGCTACGTTCATTTTCTTGCCCTGCTCCGTTCTGAATTTTTTTGTCTTGCCTTCACGCTAGCTCGCAATTTGCCAGCTTCGTCTCTTTGGGGGGCGTTCTGGGTGCTGCTGATGCTCGCCTGCTCATCTGCTCAGCTGCTCATCTTAAAAATTGGCCAGGTGAAAAATTGCAGCTGTCGCTGTTAAGCTGTACGGCCCGTGGGCGTCTACATGGACATGGGCGTGGCAGGTCAGAGCGACATGGCTGAAGTGCAGTTGATTGTAGGCCTGCAGCAGTGCCGAGTGCGTCTCACCGAGCTCCATCCCGCCTCGCAGGGGCGGGCCATACTTTCGTGAGTCGCTAATTAGAAAACAGCCGCAAAGCAAGCGGAGCATGTTAAATGGAAATGGAAATGGCACTGGCAACTGTGTGTGTGTGTGTGAGTTTTTTCATTCTCTTTCTATAGTAAAAAAAGGAGAGGAATAATAAGTGCTTGGGCCAAAAGCAGGATAAAATTAGCATTGCATTAGCAGGGAGCTGCCTCTTCAGATCTGTATCTCTATCTCCGCAACACACATAGCCGCCCTCGGGACATGCTTTGATTTTAGCCGGATTGACGGCAATCAGCTGTAAAATGTGACGTTCTGTGAAATATTGAAATTGACTTAGGGCCCGGACGGCGACTGTTTGCCTGATTTCGATTGCATTTGGATTTGTATTTGCGTCGTATTTGTTTTGGCCTCTAGTTGCGCCTCACTTGCGGCTATGTTTTTGAAGTTTTTATTCATACGTGCGGGCGGGCGGYTGGTCGGGGGGAGGGCCCGCCTGCCTGAAGTCATCGTTTTAGGGTTGCGTTACCACCGGAAAACTTGTGTTATCGTAAAGGGGAAAAAATGTGTGCTTGTCCTGCGGCGTGGTTGCATTGATTTTGCTATTCCTCCTAAGCAAAGCCAAGCCAAGGCAATGCTATGCGTTGGCGTCAGGCAGCTGTAATTACGCGACTGGCGCCATCATCAACGTCATCATCATCATGGGCATCATCAGCATCTTCATTATCAGCAAGAAGTTCCGCCTAAGTAAACACATGATTTGGCTAAAGGGCTAGGAGTAGAGAGGCAGAGGGGCAGAGAATGAGAGGGAGAGAGAGAGAGACGAGGCTCGGGTAAACCGGGTCGTTTGTTTAAAAACGCATCTAAATTGCAAATTAAGCAACAAATTTCATCAACAATATTTGAATTTGAATTTAAATGCGACAACGAGTTGGGCAACGCGACTGAGAAGCGCGTAGAGAGGCACAGCACGCAAATAGATACACTCAAACACTCACACACACACGCACGTAGCTACATGAACCGAAAATGGAAAATTCGCCTTCGCCTTGCGTAAAGCCAGGCAAGAATCTGAGTGGTAAATAAAGCAGCCGCCAGAACTTGAAGCGGGCTAGCAGGAGGCAAGCGGACAGGATGCTCGTGCACGGCTCTGCACTCTTATGGAAAGAGACAGATAGAGTGTGAGTGAGTGAGTGAGAGAGAGAGAGGGAGATGAAGTTGACTTGGCAACGTTCTGTTCGCTGCACTGATGTAAACACCAAAAATACAACAATGGCAACCATTTCAGTTTGCTTTAATCCTGCTCTCTCTCTTACTGCTGCGCCCGCCTGCCACGCCCCCCCTTGCTGTCCGCTCGTTGACTGGTTTTGTATATTTGCCTGTGTTGTTTGTCAAAAGAAGCAATTTACGTGCAAAATAACTCAAGTGTCATGCAAATTTCATTTATTTTCGCACAAGAAAAAATAATTCCCGCACCGCGATGAGGCCAGAGAAAAAAAACGTTGTCATAGAGCACACACACACACACACGCACACAGATATAAAAAAAAATATATATATATGTAGTTATATGGTATTTTCTTACAAAATGTCTAAAAAAAAAAGTCAGTCATCGGAACAAAATCGTTGCACAAAGACTCAAGAGAAAAAAAAGAGAGAGAGAGAGAAAAAAAATGAAACGAAACGAAAAATGAAAGAAAGAGAAAAAGAACTTTTAGGCGGCTTCTCGGTTGTCAAACAATTTGATGCTGTGATTTGTATATTTATTTTATTTTATTTTATTTCATTTTTGTTGTTGAGAAAATTAGAGCCGAGTGTGCTCCTGATTTCCCATTGAAGTGGCGCCAAGGAGAGCATATTATAATAATAATTTGTGCTCGCTATTTAATTTAATTCGAGTTTATTTTTAAGACGTGGCCAAAGGAAACTTGGGGCTCCTGCCACTTGAAGCTTAAATGAAGTTTGTTAAGTACTTTTCCACGGCAACAACAACAACGATTGTTGTACAACAAACAACAAGGCAGCTCCTTAAGTACTTCAGGTTGGAAATTTCATTAGTTGGGTTCTCTCTCTCTCCCACACACACACACCACACACTCAGGCGCTTGTTCATGACAAATGGAAAACAAAATTGTGTGTGAGAAATAAAAGAAAATACTCGTATAGAAGCTTAAAAATTATTTAAGGCTTCAGATTTTTATTTGCCAAACTTGGTCAACTAACACACAAAGAGGCGTGGGAATTGACAGCAGCGCGCAAAAGTAAAAAATAAAAAATAAAAACTTCCAACATCAACTTCAATTTAGAGCTTAAATTTCCATTCAAATTCAATTGTTGTTGGATTTACAAAGTGAAATTGAAGATCTTTATGTAAACTGAAGCCTGAACTTTGACTTCAAAATCTCTTTAGCTATGTATAGCACAGTTTATATATATATATCTAGGGATAGACACTTACCGGCATAGTTTGGCTTCCGTGCAAATTGGTTATTGCAGACTGAGCCTCCTGTTGGGAACCGAATTTGACGAAAGCGCAGCCTGAAAGTAAAGCAAACAATACAATTAAGTAAGCATACACACATACACATGCATATGTACAACTCTTCTCGATACACGCTCGTTATCAAGAGTATTTCAGTTAAGTTCTGCTTCAGCCCCTTGACTTCGCAGACGCTTAACAAGAATCGTGTGCAATTGCTGGCAGGCAGCTGGCGCATGTGTGCGTCGCATTTAAATAAAATTTTAAGTGCAATTAAAAAGCATTTTCTGCCACGAAAGGCCAATATGGAGCAGGCACAGCAGCCGTTATATAAAAATAATAGTCGGCCGGACGCTGAATGTTAAATTCAAACCAACAAAAAAATATATATG